CAACCTCCGAAGCGCCCCCCCCCCCTCCACCCCATATCCCGCCAACCCCTCCTCGCGCCCACCCACCCCCTGAGGTCCCCCACGTGGACCCGCCCAGCCCTACCACAGAGCCGCCCTCTCAGCTGCCCTTACCTCTGTACATACGTATTCAGAGAGCCTTGAACAGCCCAGGCCCAGTCCAGCCCAGTCCTGAAGAATCCCAGCGAGCTCATTCGCTTCTGTTTGAATCACCACCGGACTTTCTCACTGAGGCCCCAGGAGGGGGGCGAAACTCTCTTCCTGTCACTATCGAACCTCTGCGACTGTGAGTGTGCATATCAGTTTATCTCAGAACACAGTGTTCTCTGCTCTTGTACGCTTGTAGCAGATTGCTACTTTTTGCATCCCATGAAGAAATGTTGCCTAGTGTTATGCTGCTTATGTGTACTATACATATTTTCACATTTTCTTTACACATTTTACACATTTTCTGGAAATGTCATCACCCTCAGGCCATCTGAGATGTAGTTGAGTTTGTTTCTTCGTCACAACAGATTTGGATAAATGTAGCATTGCATCACTTGCTCACCAGTGGATGCTCTGCAGTGAATGGGTGCCGTCAGAATGAGAGTCCAAACAGCTGATAAAAACATCACAATAATCCACAAGTAATCCACAGCACTCCAGTCCATCAATTAATGTTTTATGAAGTGAAAAGGTGCATGTTTGTAATAAACAAATCCATAATTAAGGTATTATAACTTCAAGCAGTCACTTCTGGCCAAAATACGAGTCCATAATCCATAACAACGCTTCTTCCAGTGAAAAAGGAAGAAACATCCCCTGTTGTCCTCTCACATCAGAATCCACCCACATATTTGTTTAGAACTGATTTTGGACTGTTTTTGCTTAATCTGTTAATATTATTCTCCTGATTCAGACGAGACAATTTTTTAATGGAGAAAGCAACATTATGGATAAAGGACTTGTATTTTAGTCAGTGCCATTGGTTGTTAACACCTTAATGATGGATTTGTTTATTGCACTTTTTTGCTTCTCAAGACATTAATTGATGGACTGCAGTGGTGTGGATTACTTGTGGATTATTGTGATGTTTTTATCAGCTCTCGTTCTGACGGCACCCATTCACTGCAGAGGATCCATTGGTGAACAAGTGATGCAATGCTGCATTTCTTCAGATCTGTTTCTCAGATCTTGGACGGCCCGAGGGTAAGTAAATTTTCAGCAAAGACTATGGCCAACTAGTTGTACATTCTGTGCCTGTGTGAGGGGAAGTAACTCTCCAATCCAGCAGGTGGCAGTAGTCTGTATTCGTCAAAAAGAGAAATCGGAAGTGATATGCCGACAGATATTCAAACCGATTACAAAGCAGAACATGCTTTACCTCTTCTACACCAATGTCATCAGAGTGATCTCTTTTGAGATCTTGGTTTGTCAATGCTTTTAAATTGTCCTAATCATGCTACATATACACTACACTACATTTATAATATGTTACATGCATGCTGTGTGTTGCGGTAAATATGTACACAACCACACACCATTCATATGTTCACTGTGTTTGTGTGATTATGTATTGATTAGGCCCGAGGATGATGATTTTGACATTGAAGAAGAGCTGCAGAAGCTGCGGCCCGCCCCTCAGCCCACACAACAGCCGGAGCTGGAGCCGCGCAGCCGTCGCGGTCTGGTGGGAGACCCGCGGGTCACTGTCATTCCTGAGGATGCTGGACATGGAAACAGCGATGATGAGGACGAGGAGAGTGATTCGGATGGACCCATCCATTACAGAGATGACGATGAAGAAGATGATGATGATGTTCCCATGAGTATGATCCTTTTATACTGTCTGACCAGCTGTATGAGGGTTATTTAGGAATATCCTGTACTAATATGTGCATTAAAAACGTAGCACTTTACTGTTACCACAGTTGGCATTTTAAAGCATGAAACTGTGGAATAAGGTGTTAAAACTCTGATTGCCATTCAAAAGTTTGTGGTCAGCATACATTTTTTTTATATATATACTTTTATGCAACAAAGACAGATTCAGTTGGTCAAAAGTGACAGTTAAGATATTTTTAATGTTACAAAAGATTTCAAATAAATGTGTTTTTTCTGAACTTTCTATTCATCAAAACAATCCGGGAAAAATATATAGAAAATCTACAGCACAACTGTAATAGGATAATAATCATGTTTCTTGAGCAGTAAATCAGCATACTGTATTAGAATGATTTCTGAAGAATCATGTGACACTGAAGACTGGAGTAATGATGCTGAAAATTCAGCTGTCATTATCACAGGAATAAATTACATTTTAAAATATATTCAGATAGAAAAGTTATTTTAAACTTTAATAATGTTTCAGAATATTACTATTTTTACTGTATTTGTAATCAGATTAATTCAGCATAAGAGACTTGTTTCAAAGACATTAAAATAGGGCTGCATGATTAATCGAAATTAAATTGCAACGGTGATAAATCGCGATAGGCAGAAGCTGCAATTGTCATGCGTATCTTTCAGTGAAGCACGGTTCTGTGATCAGCAGTAAATCTCCATCCGAAGGCCAGAGGGCGCTCTCGCGCTGAAACTCCAAATACACCTCGCAGAAGAAACCCAGAAAATGCCTATCGCTGCAGCTGAATAAACAGAAGATTTAACTGCTTTCATTGATTCAACGTGACTAATAAGCACACGACTACGACAATATATGGTTTATCTGAGTTTGTCTTATTATAATTTTTATTATAATAAAGTATATAATAATGCAATGCTAATTGACGTACCCTTCATCACTGCTTAGAATACTATGAAATATAGTTGCAGTTGCAGGTAGTAGTTAATATAAAAATAGTTGCGTGCCTTATTCTGTGTAAGAAGCCACATCATCTCACAGAAGGATTTACTTCAAACACTCGACTGACGTTACGAAGTGAGTTTGGAGTAAAAACATGTTATTAAATGTGGTATTTTCACATGCTTTCAGATGGAGCAGCATTTACTACACAGACCCGTAGTTCACTGAGAAGCTACGCAAACAGCTTTCATAATCGCAGAATGATTTCTTCATTATTGCGCGATTATAACGTCTGCGATTATGAACGCGATTTTGCGTAGCTTGTCAGTGAACTACGGCTCTGTGTAGTAAATGCTGCTCCATCTGAAAGCACGTGATGGAGATTTACTACTGATCACAGAACCGGCTTTACTGACTAGATGCGCATGACAATTGCATTCGATTAATCGTGCAGCCCTACATTAAAAAAATCATACAGACTCCAAACTTTTGAATGGTAGTCTATAGGGCTGGGTATCATTCAAAAATGTTCGATATCAATACCGATACCTTGATTTGGGTGCAGGAACTGATATTTTTCACTCTTGTGTCGGATTGGCCTACAGGTAAATATAAAGTCTACAAGTAAAAGTAATGTGTGTGTGTCTCGTCAGGTGGTCTTGCACTCCGTGTGAAGCGTAAGGACACTCTGGCACTGAAGCTGGAGCGTCAGCTGGAGAAAGAACAGTCTCAGGACCAGGAGAACAGCACCTGGAACAACAAAGAGCAGTGGGAAACTGTCCGCAATCAGATTGGCTCCACCCTCACAAGGTCTGCGTGTGCGTTCACTGCGGGTTTATGGGTCTTTGTAATCCACACTGACACTCAGAGGCATAGCAATAAGGCAGGCAGTTACCCGAGGGCTGATCGTTTAAATTAATTTATTTATTTTTATTATTTCTATTTTTTTTTTTTTATATACATGTTTTTTTATTTTATTATTATTATTTTTATTTTTTTTAAGTCTACCAGGGTTGGGGTGGGTTCTAAATTTGCACAGTTGCTTTTTGTTTTGTATTGCTATTCCCAGAAGAAAATTCAATAAACAGTTGTTAACAAAAAAAAAATTATCAGAAATGTTAATATTAACGGAGAGTCTATTTACAAATATGCCACCTTGTTGACTGAGGCTATTTACAGTAACTCCACCCACCAGTGTCTGTTTGGGATAGACCAAATTACAAAACACGCACAATGCACAACAGAAACAGTGGCGTAAGACGCATGGCAACGACTTCTGACGTGATCGACCCAAGATCAAATCTGCCTTTTGCCCAACTCTTTCTTCTTCCTTTTCCCATCACTTATCAGATCGGAGAGGTGTTTATCTTCAATAAAAATGAAACAAATGTTTGTAAAGTGTAAATTAAGTGCCTCACGGGTATTTAATAACACAGAGTTTATCGGGAAGGGTTGAGGTAGACGTAGAGAGGGCTTTATTGTCCCAATAAGGCGGCATCCATTAAATAATTTTAATAAATATGATTATTTACACTCAATATGTTATCATTGCATACTATTTAATATTTTAATACAATACTGAGGTGCAAATATCTGCCACTATTTGCACTAAGTATAAATAGCATCTAACTATTATTTACACTTATCGCTAAGAAAATGTGATAACCATATACTAACTATATATTTCTACCATATATATGGTAATAAATATGAAGATCGTACTGTATCTTGAAGATTGTATTATATTTGTATCTTCTATTATAAAGTCATTTTGTTAATTAAAAAATAAACAATTTATGTTCTGTTAGATGTGTTTTGGCTACTTTTTGTAGCCACTTAATCTAGGTTCGTCTCTGCTGACACTGTGGGTTTTTCTCATAGGAGGTTGAGTCAGAGACCCACCGCACAAGAGCTTGAGCAGAGAAACATCCTACAAGGTCAGTCTTACAGCCCTGGTCTTCTAGTCCTCCACAGCATTTGTGGTCATTCATAGCTGGTGTAGTTCCCAATTGTGTTATGCTTCCAGTAAAAAACAAAAAATGTAATAATAATATCGGCATGTTCTTCTGTTTCAGCCAAGAATGAAGCAGACCGACGGGCAGAAAGGAGTGAAATCAAGCGCAGACTGACCAGAAAGGTTTGGAGGCACACATCCATTACTTGATTGAGTTGTTTCTCACGAAAACCTCTAAAGGTCTTGTTTAGAATCAGTTTTATATACAAATACACTACTGTTCAAATGCTTGGAGTCAGTAAGATTTTCTTTTGTTTTGTTTTTAATTAAATCTCTTCTGCTCACCAGGTCTGCATTTAATTGATCAAAATACAATAAAACCAGTAATATAGTAAAATAGTATTACAATTTAAAATAACTTTTAAACTTTTTTAATATATTTTACGATGTAATTTATTCCCCTGATGGCAAAGCTGAATTTTCAGCAGCCATTAACTCTTTTCGGTGCTGATTTGGTGCTTTAGGACCATTTAAACATTGGTAATATAAGAAAACAGTTGTGCTGCTTCATAGTTTTGTGGAAACTAACTTTTTTTTAGGATTCTTTAATGAATAGAAATTTCAAAAGTACAGCATTTATTTGCAATAGACATGTCCCATTGTAAATGGCTTTACTGTCTTTTTTTAATCAATTTAATGTGTCCTTAATAAAAAAGAAAAAAGAAAAAAAAAAAGATGCCAAATTTTTGAATGGTGTCCCTGTGTTAAAAGTTGTTAATCAGGGGAAGTTTAAATAATTAAAATTTTTAATCTTGCTCATGTAAGTTATCTCTCGTATCTCTCTCTCTCTTGCATAATAAAAACATCTTAAATCACTTCTGTTAGAGTTTTAAAATTCTAAACGTAATATAATACATATTAAAATAGAAATGCTTGACGACTTGCTCCTTTAACTTCTTAACTGTCAGTGAAAAGTGAAGAAAAAAAAACTACAACTAACCAAGTTACGATTTTCACACTCTTTCCATTAGGGGCAAAAATATTTTGCTTGTGGTGAAAGTATGTGCTAATCTTACTGAACTTGAAAACAAATGCTGTTGTGTCTCTGTCTGCAGTTGTCACAGAGGCCCACGGTGGCCGAGCTGCAGGCCAGAAAGATCCTGCGCTTTCATGAGTATGTGGAGAGCACTCACGCTCAAGACTACGACCGGCGCGCCGACAAACCCTGGACCAAACTCACACCTGCTGACAAGGTCCGACCCAATCACTGCTCGCAGCTGCCCCCTAGTGGTGACTGATATAGCAGCGTTTAAATGGTGTCTTATGTAAATTGTAAAGAGTTTGCATATTTGCACATAATTGAAAACCACAAAACCTCCTTGCCAAACATATCTTATTTGAAAAGGCACAGTAACATTGACAGACTCTGTTTCTCAACCATATTGGCGTTAAAGTATTGGAATTGTATGTTGATTTGACCACATGGCATCCTCAATAAGGCGTACTGTAAGGTGTTTTATAGTGATACTCTGAGCGTTCGTGATGTTCTTTCTTTGTCCTCTTCCAGGCGGCCATAAGAAAAGAGCTGAACGAGTATAAGAGCTCAGAAATGGAAGTTCATGAGAAGAGCAGGATATACACCAGGTCTGAGACTTTCAGCACTTTCTTAATTGGAATAAATGAAGAAGTGTTTACACACACAAGAATATTGAGATATTAATGGGAATTTGGTCAAATGCTTCACGTAAACACCATAACCCAGCAGCCAATACCTGGTTACTAATCTGAAAAAGATGGCATGTGTCTGTATTAATCCGAATATTGGATCTTATTCAGAATATCCACATTGATCTTGATCTATATCTGTAGAGCTGAACGAGTATAAGAGCTCAGAAATGGAAGTTCATGAGAAGAGCAGGATATACACCAGGTCTGAGACTTTCAGCACTTTCTTAATTGGAATAAATGAAGAAGTGTTTACACACACAAGAATATTGAGATATTAATGCGAATTTGGTCAAATGCTTCACGTAAACACCATAACCCAGCAGCCAATACCTGGTTACTAATCTGAAAAAGATGGCACGTGTCTGTATTAATCCGAATATTGGATCTTATTCAGAATATCCACATTGATCTTGATTTATATCTGTATCTGCAGAGCCATTCAAAAGTTTGGGGTCTGTAAGATTTTTTTTTTTAATGTTTTCGAAAGTCCTCTGCTCAACAAGCCTGCAATTATTTGATCCAAAATACCCTAAAAACAGTGATATTGTGAAATATTCAGTGTTAATTACATTTTGTCAACAACATTTTTCCACAGATGAAAACCAGATGATAATGAAATAAAAACTCTTTTTGAATGACAAACAATGATGAAAATGTATCGACATTTTCAAGCCACGACGTAGCAGAAATAGAAACCGTTTCTAAAAAAAGAAACTTTGCGTCGCCATTGCGGCTGGTTCGGACCAAAACTCAGATGAACATGAAAAGATGCCTTTTTATCACGTCGCGTGTAGTTAGGACACGGTGTATTCAGATGACTAAAACTAAATGGTATTTCAGTCCAAAGACTATGACTAAAACTAAATCAAAATTTGCTGTCCAAATGAACACTAGAAATATTGTTACCATTTAAATGAACTGTTTTCTATCTGATTATATTTAAAAATGTAATGTATTCCTGTGATCAAAACTGATCCTTCAGAAATCATTCTAATATGCTGATTTGCTGCTAAAGAAACCTTTCAAATTAATAGAATGCTTAAAAGAACAGCATATATTTAAAATACAAATATTTTGGGACATTATACTGTCACTTTTGATCAATTTAATGGGCCCTTGCTGAATAAAAGCATTAGTTACTTCTACAACAATCTTACTGAAAGTGATCGAGAAATAGAGAGTTGTTTGGGGCGGCCACCTTTTTGGTTTCCCTGATTCCCTGTGAACATGATCATTGTCTTCAACCATCACCTGGACTTTATAACGAAAATGTCATTTCTTTTTCCAATTCCTTTCGCAGGTTTCACCGGCCATAATCAGCATCACAGACGGATGAAAGCTGCAGCTGAAAGCCTCCATCTCACTCCAGCATCTTGTTTGCCATGATCCTGTACTGACGAGTGCCCAGGCCAGCCGCTCAGTGCTCTGGAGTGAAGAGGAGGAGGAAGTGATGCGGGTGTGTGCAGGATGCTGGTACTTGTTGATTCAGACACTTGGGGAGCGGGTTTGGAGGGCCAGCGCTCCGTAGAGTTCCCATGATTCCCACGGCCAGAGTATTTCAGGGAGAAGAGGACACGGGACTGCGTGGACTGGGCTGTTTTAATTGTCTTTATGGTGCACATGTTTCTGAGATCAAGAATAGGCTTGTGTACATAACAGTAATACTTTTATGGAAATTATGACACTGGTGATTAAACTGTTTGAGTGGTGAGCGATTATGAGAGACCGAGTGTGTGTGTGTGTGTGTGTGTGTGTGTGTGTGTGTATGTTTGTGCGCGTGTGCGTGCATGTGTGTGTGTGTGTGTGTAATGATATATGCGGTCCACTTATGCCTTAAGACTGGTGCATGACTTTCTTTAGCCTGACCTTCGAGGAATACAGAAGAAAGTCTGTTGACACAGATGCATTTAACACTGTTTCTCACGCTGAACACACACTTACTGATATGTGTGGATCTGAAAGCACATCTTTGACATTCTCAGGACGTCGGCACACAGTCTCACTTTCTCTTTATGTGCATTTTACTGTAAATTACCATAGTTTTACTTTTCACACAGATAAAACACCTGCTTTAAAATTGTTCTTCTCTTTTTAACAACATAGCACTTCACTTTAGATATTTCAAGGCCATATTTTAACCCAAAAATCTTTATTTATTTTTTATTTTTTTTTAAGCATGTGGAAAATTAAGCCTATATACCAGTAAGATTTTTAGCATTGTGAAATTATTTTCATCATTTAAGCATATTTCCCCCCTAAATTATTCTTATTATGTGTTGGATGTTTTACTGTTGAGTCTTTTTCTGCTTCTTCTCATGTGCATTATTCTCAATGGTAATTATTGTTACTGTAATATATTTTTTTATTACAGTAAAATACTGTAATACATTTTTTTCTTATAAACATGGATTAAAAGCAATTAAAAAAATCACATATTACCATAATAAGAATATATATTTTTTTTTTTTCATATCACTGGAATGTTTTTTTTTCACAATGCCAAACATTTGAATGATCCTAAAGCTTCATTTTCTTTAAGCAAAACTTTTTTTTCTTTTTTTTTTTATATATATATAAAAAATATATGACTTGGACATGTTGTTGATAGGTTTCATGAAATTCTGCTCTTGATGATATAGTTCGCCATGCATTGAACAATTTAAAACAAAATGGTTGATGTTACATCATGCAGTCATTGTAAAAATCTTGCATTTTTGAGTGGTACATAAAATGAAACTCATTTCCATGTCACTGCTAGTTTTATGGTACACTTTTTGTTGGCCACCAGAGGGCCTGTGCACTGTATAGAGACATGCTGTAGATTGAATTTGATTGTATATCTCGTCTTCCTGACATCAGAAATGTGTTTTAATTGTAATTATAGTGTTACACTATCCTCTTTTTATAAGGTGCAAACAGAATGACTGCAGGTTAAGTGAAACAATGATCCGGTACAGAACAGCTGTATAGATACTTTTTTATGTAAAGATATATTAAAAGGTCTGTCAATTAATACATGTACATTCACTTCACTATTAATTAAAACTAAACTGTGAGCATCGTTTGGTTCATTTTGGGGTTTATTTTACATAAAGCATTTACATAAACCTAGTTGTGTACTCATGCATGGAACATATCAGTGTTACTTGGACGCCTCATTTGATTCATTTTTACAACTATAGTAAATGTGTTCACCAACAAATGATTCAAAAATACGCTGTTTTTTGGACATTTACCATGGTGTAATGTCATGGGTTTTGGGATGTATTCCATTTGCAATATTTACTTGGGGCCTGTAGAGGGCACTATTGATTTAGCTCAAAATTACCAGTTGTCTTGTGTTTCTTTTACCTGTCTGATCAAGAATTTCTTAAATATGTAATATATGTGTGTTTTTTTACACTATATTGCAATGGCCGTGTAATGGTGATCCTTGTTCTTATAGCATTGTGTGTTTAAACCGTGAAGTATCAACACTTGTGTCTGTCTGCTGTGGTTTCAGAGTGAAATCTATCTTTTTATGAGCACTCAAAAGCTTTTGAAATGTTAATTAATAAGCTTGCAAGGGGGAATGCCATTGTGGCCTCCTTATTGATATGTTTATGAACAGCCCACCCATCATGACATTTTGAAGTTTGCCTGTATCATGCATTTTTAATGGCTTTCCACTGCTCTCCAACCCTCTTCAGTCCCTCTCTCGTCCACATACTGTCTCTCTCTTCCTTTATCTGTCTTTTGCACCCATTTCCCACAGTTAAGGCCCGTTCACACCAAGAATGAAAGCTATAACTACATTTTTAATAATCGTTCTAATTTTATGAGAATATGGATGTCCACACCAGAGCTATAATGATAACGACACGGAGACTAGTCTTAGACGTCACACCTTCTGCCATCAGTTTAAAGGTTTAGCTACACGAGACGATGTCGCTAGAATCATTTTCAGAATGTTTAACCATGACAGCCAATCAGAATCCATCCGGCTTTAAAGAACACAAGGGCTGCGTCCGAAAGCACATACTTCCCTACTACATAGCAGGTGAAAAACAGATGTGTGAATTCACATTACTCATAAAAGAGTAGGCAAAAACTACCAGATGACAGATGCACCAGATGCACTAGTTCTGGTGGGATTCTGAAGTGTGCATATGATGGACACTTTACTATCCCATCTACACATTCATACTACAGACCATGTAGCTCCACCCCTTTTCAGCAGTGTGCTCGTTGTCTTCTGTCTTCCATTTGTATTTCCCCAGCGTGAAGGTAAGGTCGTACCAATTTATGAATGAACTGCTCATTCTAAAATCTTCCTGGTCTACTGACATTTGTTGAAATCCACTTCACCAGCTAATTTCTCTTCAATGGCGATGCTATAGAGCTACCGCTATAACGGAAGTTCAAAGACAGAATTTTAAAGATGGCTGTGCGCTTGTTTCTCTGGCGCATAAGGTCTATTTCAGGGGTGTCCAAACCTGTTCTTAGAGAGCCACTGTCCTGCAGAGTTTAGCTCCAACCCCAATTAAACACACCTGATCCAGCTATTCTAGGTCTTCAGACTCACTAGAAACAAAAGCTGCGTCCGAAAACTCTAAAATGCTGTCTTTGGAGGACACATTCTAAGGTAGGAAGGCATCAAGGCACGTCCAAATCCAAAGTTAGCTTCACTTCCTGTCTCATGAGATACCTTCATCTGATCGATTTTTGAAGGCAGCATAGATGTATCCTTCACCTTTGATATCCCACGATCCTGTGCGTTCCACTCCGTGATGGCTGAGCTAAAAAATAAAGATGGCGTCTGAAAGTTGCGTTTGGAGGTCAGTTTGTGTGTAAATGTATATTTCTGACTAACTTTTTGCATTTTTGATGTTAGTTCTGGAGAGAAATCAGTCTTATAGTAATTAAATATTTGTTTAGTTATCACCAAAACTCGTTCTATTTTGTTGTAGATCATTAAACCGTTACGCTGCCTCAGAAGCCTGTCCGAAATCAGTTTCACGAGGTGCCTTCGTGCAAAAACGTTGCCTGCAAAGTCATTGCCTGATAGGGCAGCGAGGCAGCAAGTGAGCTGCCTAGGCTTTCGGCCGCAGCCACAGCCACTAACTAAGGCAAGCCTGCAACCTTTAGCCCAAAAAACTTAATGGCTAATGCTAGCGCTGCAGCTTTGGCGGTATGCAAGGAAGGAGACTAGAGGCCATTGTATGATTGGCTGAAGTGCCTCACATGAGCAAAAATAGCCGCTACGCTTTTTCCAATGGTAAGTTCTACAGACCCTAGCATCTCCCAATAATAAGGCCATCTCTGCTAGAAACTTCCAGGTAAGTGTGTTGGAGCTAAACTCTGCAGGACACTGACTCTCCAGGAGCAGGATTGGACACCTATGTACTATCAAAGACTATAAAATACCCAAGACGTGTCACTCCTGTAGTTTTGAATGGGGAAAAATGCAACGCTCAACAAGGCCGCTCTATTGAAGGAAGCTCCGCCTTCTGAGTAAAAGAGCCAATGGCTAATCGGTAAAGTCAGCGCATCACTGCAGCTGCCGTCACGCCTGTTTCACACATACTCCGCCTGCAGTGCGTGTGCGTTGCATATGCGGTACGTCTGCGTTGCGGTAGCAGGAAGTGGCTATTGTGCTTTCACACAGGACACGTCTGTAGTGCGGTACTGACGGCCGTTAGATCCGTGAAATAAATACAATAATGGGTACGTAGTTTCCCATTCTGTGTATTGTAAATGTATATGTTTTCAAATTTATTGAAAAAGCTATATTAGCATTATTACTCTCTTTATTTTGCATGTAGTGCGTATTGTTGACAGGAGAAAGGCGGTCGCTTTCTATATGTTGCTAGGGAGATTAAAGAGAAGGACAAGACGAGTGTGGGTTCATCCACTTAACCAGCGTAGAAGACAACTTGGAGCATATTACCACCTTGTGTCCGAACTTCGACTTGACAGTGACCGGCACCTGAAATACTTTAGAATATCTGCTGAGCAAATGGATCAAGTTCTTGCTCTGGTTGGAGCAGACATCACAAGGCAAACAACAACTTATCGGTTGTCCATCGAACCCAAGCAGAGGCTTGCTGTTACACTGAGGTAAGGACAGAATATGATGCTTTTTATATATTTTTTTTATTAACTTTTTAATTATAATTCTAAACTTTAACATCAACCAGTGTACGTATAACAAACATGTATTTTGTCTATGTATGTATATATACAGTATATATATATACAAATATTTGTATGAAGTGTACTATCCAAACTATTTAACTCAATTAACTACTACTTTATTTATGCTTAACTAATGCATAATCTGCGCTCCCTAAATGGTAAGTTAATCATTAATTACTAGTGTGTTTGTGCTCAACTAATGCTTAATTGTGAACAAGTTAACCATTAATTAATGCTTAACTAATGCATTATTCTGGACCCCTATTCTAAAGTGTTACCTTTATTGGTCTTATACATCATGTAAACATTTATCGATTCAGATGGTGTTCTTTATTAAGTGCTGTAAGAGCACTTCACTTGTCTACACCGAGTTATATTTTTCCAGTAATGTAGAAAAGGCTGGCTGTAGTGACAAAAGGTCCACACAGCCACTGAGTGTTAATACCAAGATTTTCTACACAATTTAACATGTTAATAAGTATGTCTATCTATTGCTATGCCTAATAATAATTACATATTAGCATTGAGATGTAAACAATATATATTCAGATATGCATTCATATAGTCAGGATTTTTAAATATATTTACTGTGACATCACAAATATATATGACATCACAAATCCTTTTTACAAGGACAATGTGCAACCAAACAACATCTGACGAATGCGCTGCGCTTCTTATGCGCTTTCTTCTGCTCGTCGTCCATTTCTGGCCTCCTGCCAAAGATATGTGACTGTGAAATACGATCGGGAGTCTGCACAGGGTGTTTATTTTGAAATTGACATGATTTTTTAACTTTTATTTTGTATTTGCTGTGCGGTTTGGACGCGGCGTCCGTCAAAAATAGACTAGGCGCCTATCTTTAGCGAAGCGGCGCGGAGAGCCGCTTCTGGGAAGCTTTTGAAACGTGCCGCGGCATGTGCAGTGTAAATAAGGGGTAAATAAGGGGTTAAACAGGCGTTAGAAGTCCCGGTTGCTATAGAAACAGTCAGCGTTCAGAGACGTGCGCTTAGGACTGCACATTCAATATACATTCAATATACACATACACTCAAGAGAGTATGCCATTTCACACGCAACCAGCGTGCTGGGATAGTTTACTCAAAATGAAAATTCTGGCATCTTGCTTACCTTTATATCATTCCAAATCTGTATGAAGGTGAATTACCACTTTAAAAACTGCCAAGAGAG